AGGTCTGGGGCTAATGACTTTAACCCCGCCCGAACGGTATGACTGTTGTGCTTTTTTAATAATGTCTCTCTTCATGTTTGTAACTTGTTTGTCTCCCCCTCCCCCTGAACTGTGAGCCGCCCTGAGTCCCCTCAGGGAAAAGGGCGGCATACAAATAAAGTATAAATGAAAATGAAATGAAAACTGGTTCAGGGGCATGGCAGGACGAGTTACTACCTACTTAACTGAACCAGTCTCTGTGGGTTCCTACCAGCTGCACAACTGATTTGCTTTGCGCATGTGCACACAATTTAGCAAAAATTGAACTTTCGCATTGCATATAAGGAAGGGAGTAAGGATAGCAGCTGAGGGGAGGCAATTCAATCTGCCGCCCCTGATCAGCTGGGCTTTGGGAGCAGAAATAAAGATCAGTATAACCCAGGGGCGGGTAGGCAAGCCCACTTTCATGGATACAGAGAACCGATTCACTCTTGGCTTGCAGTCAGCACTAATGGTTCAGCCGAACCAGTCTGAAACGGTAGGAATCCACTACTGCTGTAGGCCTTTCATGGTATAATTGGTGTTATTTATGTGGCCTCTTATGTTTTTCTCCCAATATTATATAACAGTGTGAGCATGTACAAGTCTCTTCCATGAAGCAATGCTCATTGACAAAACCCAGAGGTGTGCCTTGTCATAGTGTCTGCCCTATTGAACACCACCCACTCCGCCACAAAATGTTTGTTGGTCCTGACCAGTGGTGGGTTCTGGATCCCATTCCAACCGGTACGGTTGTAACAGGCCTGGCGTTCCAACATGGATGCGCACAGTGCGCACATGTGTCTTGCTGTCCAGTGACGCCTCCCCCAGCATCCGTGATGCTCCAGCAGCGTCGCACAGGCGCTGTACGTGCTGTGCGTGTGAGGAAGCGCCAAAGACTTTAAAGACAGGTAAGGAGCAAAGGTGGGCAGGTGGGCCCTTCGGAGCACCGTACCGGAACAGTACCCGGTGCTCCAGCCAGGCTCCATTACGCCTGTACTTTAACGTATCACCTGCAACCCACCACTGATCCTGACTTTCCATAAGGCTTTGAAAACTTGGTTCTTCACTCAGGACATTAAACCAGGGTAATTAGATGACTATATTCATAATGGTTTATAAAATTATAGTGGTTTGCCTTGGATGTATTATTTTTTATTTTTGTTTTGATTATTTCTTGTTCAGTAGTTTTTAATGTATTGTTAGCTGCCCAGAGTCATACTTTATGTTAGGTAGTCATATAAAAATAGATAAATGGATTGCAACACTCCATATGATGATTACAGTTTTCAGATAGTGCCACCTATTGGTCCTCCAGATATTTTTAGCCAGATGTGGCAGTCCTAATTATACCCTGTGAGTAATTGAGCTTTAGGATTAATATTAATAAATGTTTAATTTTTTACACATTAATGTATTCCATTTTCAGCATTTGGAAATATTGTCACTGTAATTTATGCAAAAAGGTTAATTGAAAAGAATTTTAAAAGGAAAAAAGACATACTGGTTATTTGAAATGCAAGAGCTTTTGATAGAAAGGAGTGATCAATGTATCTCAAAATTTCACATATGCCTCATAGGAAAACAAAAGAAAAAAATGCTAACTCTGGCCGGATAATTTTTTAATAACTTGGCGCTGCATGCTTTGTTTTGACAGATGAGTGTGTATTTAACTATGAGCCTCATAGATTATTCATGTATATCTCAAAGATCTGGTGCCTGTGTCTTTGTGTGTGGCTGTGTGCATTTCTATGTGTGTCTATACACATGCCTATAAAATATCTGAAGCTTTTTTAAAAAAAATAGAAGTATACAATTTTTAGCAACTTTAGCAATTTCAAGAAAAATAGAATTTCTCAATTCCATACTCAATTGTTTTTCAACAGCTGGAGTCGTACTATTTTGTTAAATCGCTTAATACACAATTGCAACAGATGTTAGAAACAGATGTTTTAAAGACATATGCTATTTCCCTTTATGATTATTATTTACAGTTTGTTTTATTGCTCTTTAGCTACCCCCCCCCCCAAAGTCTTCAATTCCACCTTGCAAATATTATCAATAAAAATAGTCAATATTTTCAGGATTCTAATATAAAATACAGGTGTTTCTCAAAGTACGACCACAATTGAGCCCAAAGTTTCCCCTGGTAAGCAAGACAGTAGTTAAGAGAATTTTGCTCCATTTTACGACCTTTTTTGCCACAGTTGTTAAGTGAATCACTGTAGTTGTTAAGTTAGGAACATGATTGTTAAGTGAATCTGACTTCCCCATTGGCTTTGCTGAAAGTCACTAAAGATGGTCACATGATTCCAGGACAGTTCAACCATCATAAATACATGCCATTTGCCAAGTGCCCGAATTTTGAACACATGGCCATGGAGAAGCTGCAACAGTCGTTAAGTGTGTAAAACGGTCATAAGTCACTTTTTTCATGCTGTTGTTAACTTCAAGTGTTCACTAAATGGAATGAAAAGTTGCAAATTGATTACTACCTGTCCATGACACAGGATGATAAATAGGAAGGCAGGGGAAGAAAGGAAGGACAGTTTGCATCGTGACTACCTATGATAAGGATAGACCAGATCATATGATGATCAAGTTACACCCAGTGTTAGTTGGGTTTCAACTGATCTCTCAGGAAACAAAATAAAGAACTCAGTTGATGCAAATTGGT